CCAGCATCCACGTCAGCTGGAAGTGCAGCCTCTGACCCACGCTCGCGCTTGGGCTATCCTCGCAGAGAAATGCCAGCAGAAGTCAGCTTGGGCGTGACATCCCTTGGCTTGGCCACGCTGCCAGCACGCCCGCCTGCCTGGGGTGTCTTGGGGAGGAAAAGGAGCTCCTTGTAGTCCCCTCAGCGGCCACAGACATGTGGCTGAATGAGTAAATATCAACAGGTTGTCTGAAAACAGTGGTAATGTGGGGGGGTTAATACACAAATAACCAGAGAAGCCACAGACTATTCTGGCAGTTAAATATAGGCTTCTACATCCAGGCAGGGTGGAATTTTTTGAGGCACATAAAAAACTGGGATATCTTTAAAATCAGCCCAGATTTATTTTTCAGTTGCATGCCGACTTTTAAAATGCATGGATTAAATCAGAATTAAAAGGTGCCTACATGATTGACTTCTGAATGTAGCCACGAATGAAGTCCCCTCAACAAGCAGTGGTGTTTCCAGTTCAAGGCTTCATTTGCATTATACACACTTTTTATTAACGGTGCAGAGAAAGAAATCATTCTGGATAAAAGACACCAGGATCTGACAAGGGCCACTGGGAGCAATGAAGGGGATTCATTGCACTGAGTGATCTGGATCACTGCTTAAGCAGGGCACGGAGAAACAATATGGACTTGAGCAGATCCAAGTTCATCCACCCAGGAATAAATACAGCAAGCTACATTAAAAGGGTGGGAAATCCTATCCTGGGCTGTGACTACCCTCACATGCCTGACCGGATAACAAGGTGGATGGGGAGCTCCCAGGGTGCCAACATCTGAAACAGCAAGTATTAATGAGCTACGTAAACACTGAGTCGCACTGCAGAGGTGATATTTTATCTGATTAGCCTCTGGTTCAGCTGGTACTGCAGCGGTGTCCAGGTTGGCTTTCCACAGTGAAAACAGGGGTTTTGACAACAGTGAAGTAATTATGGGGCTCCAGGCTCCATCTGTTAAACACATTAAAGGACAGATAGCACAGGGCTCGTCACTGTATCTGACAAAGATATTGCAAAATCCCAACTGGTAACTAGAAAATACTGGCTAAAACTAAGATGCAGATCTGCGCCAGAGATGGCAATTAGCTAGTGGAACAAGTCTGTAAAGGCTGTGATGGGTTCTCCAGACAGACAGTGCTATAATCACCAGGACTGAATGTTTCACAAACTGGAATTAATTCACAGCGTTGTGCAAAAGACTAAATTAGATTATTTCCAAGCCCTTTTACCTGACAAGCTGTGGTTCTCTGAACATGCACCTAAGGAAAGTTAGCAAAGACACCATTCAGGAATAGCTGCATATCTAGGAAAGGAAAGGTTTTCTAAAGATTATTACACTTGGCCAACTTAAAGCATTCAGAAGTCATGAGTCAGGGCCCCAAGCATCATGCAACTGGCTTAAAAATACTGATATTTTAAAACAGGAACAAATATCGGTTCCTTTTTATTTGCCTTCTGGTTTTTTGGCCTTTTAAGCTTCAGGGTTCAAGCTCTGCTCTGCAACTGCGATGTCCATAAAGCAGAGGTCACTAAGTCTAATTTATATAAATGCTGATATTACTGCAGCATCATACAACTCTAGGAGGTCTTCAGGATAACACCAAATATCTTGAGATTTACAGTAAAGTTGTGAGATTTCACCACGGTGATTATAAAGGCAACATTCCCTTTAAAACCAGCCACATGCAAAAAAAAAAAAAGCCCAACCAAAAAAGCAAGTTAAGCAGCAGCTGCAGCTATCCCATCTCCTTCAACAGCTCCCTGCCAGCATTTGTGGGTTTCCAGCCACATTTCCCTCATCACAGAAAGACTGGGGGGGAGTAGGGGATCGGTGACCCTACAGGTCTTTTCCATCCCACCCACCATCTGTGGGCGCTTCCTCTGGACCGATGCAGCTCTGTGCTTCTCTCCTCTCTCTTCTGGAAGGCAGAAGCCTTTTGAACAGTCCCTGTCCAGAGGATGCCAGGATGGATGGGCGGGGGAACAGATATAGCCAGGACAGAGGGAAGGAGATGCTGGGATATATGAGATTCCCATCTGACCATGGGAAAAGCTCTGTTTCCATTAGCTTCTTTCCCAGGCCCTCCCGACGAGATGAAAGCTGGAATTTCTCACCTCGTTTGCTCCTCTAACAGAAAAAACAGCCTCTCCAAACCCTTCTCTTCCATTAACCTTATGAAACCAGGTAGTCCCCTACCTCAATCTCTCTTATCAAGCTCCTCCATCCCAGCCAGATGGCTGGCTGGGAGCCTCCCCAGAGCCCAGGTAAGGGAGGAAGCAGTGAGCAAGAGCAGAGGCACAGGAAGGTTTGCGCTTGGGAGCAACCCAGCAGTGTAACACAGCCCCTGGCTCTCCTCCAGCAATGCTCAGGGGCTGCCGCCCAGACAAGTCCTCTAGCAGAGATGGGGCTGACTTCCCCGGACAGGTAACCTGCCTTAGCCCTCTCCATAGAGAGGAATATTTGGGGCAGAGGCCATTTTGTGAAATTGCATTTTAACCATGCTCATTCCAGACCTGGGCAAGCCCATCCTGCGACGCAGCCTGAGATACGTGCGGGGATGCACCGGAGCAGAGCTGCTGCAGACAGAGAAATGGCAAGTGATGAGCACACTTTTGATGTCACCCAAATCTTCCCAGATAACAGGGCCTTAAGGGGATCCTGCAGTCCGTGGGGCCAGTTATAAGCTGGGATATGGCACAGGAGAAGAAACCAAACCAGTTCATACCAATTAAGAACAAGTCTGGGTAATGCCAACAGAGAATATTTCACTGCGCCCAAGCAAAGTGAAAGGTTGACATTCCTGTATCACAAAATATCACAGAAAAAAGCCTGAGATGAGGATGAAGACCACTGCTTGCTGACATCTCCTGTGCAGCCAAATGTCCCCCGAGCCGCTGGCGCTGTGCAAAGCAATGGCACAAGATACAGTCTGCAAGTGAGCAACTGTCCTGCTAGTGCTAATTACCGCCTAAAATGTAGCTGGCAGGAACACGTAGGCAGGAAACATTCCCCAAAATCCAGGCACCGTGTGAAAGGAGCTAAGAAGGACCTGAAAATCTCTGTCTGCACACCAGGACCCAGAACTGCCTTAGAGAAAGCACAAGAGAGACCATACACCTTAGACCAAACCTAGCTTTCATTAAACACCCCCCCAGCTATGCCAATCTCCTACCCGACCCCTGGAAACATGCTCGAG